AGATTGGAGAAACTAGCGTTCGCCCTCATCTCAACAGTAAGGCGTCTACGACATTATTTTCAAAGTCACACCGTGGTTGTGGTCACAGATTAACCTCTAAAAAGAATCTTAGGAAAATCGGATGTATCAGGGAGACTCCTCAAGTGGGCAGTGGAACTAGGGGAGTTTGACATTCAATACTAGCCAAGGACAGCCATCAAAACACAAGCACTGGCAAATTTTATTGCTGAGCTTACACCACTAGAGGATAAGGACACCCGGACGGTTGATGAGAATAATAAGGTATCCAGACCAAGTGCCCAAGACAGCACAGGTGCCTAAGCGCCCAGAACAGGTGCCCAGGGCCCAGACTTAGCGCCACGGCCTATCTTAGCGCTCACGTCTCCTCTCCAGGCGCCCAGATCTCCACTCCAGGAGCCCAGATCGCCTCTTCAAGCAGCCAGCCCCCCTCCTTACTCCCAGGCACCCAACCTAGCGTCCAGGCTCCCACTTTAATCTTCGACCTCTCCTCTCCACTATTTTGGAAGCTCTATGTAGATGGCTCCTCGACCACTGAAGGAGGAGGAGTAGGCCTAATCTTGATCAGCCTCGACAACACTCCCCTTAAGTATGCAGTGAATCTCCACTTTATTGCTTCCAACAATAAGGCAGAATATGAGCTCTCCTCTCTAGATTAAGATTGGCAGCTGAAATGGAAACCCAACACCTCGCCACCTACAGTGATTCTCCACTGATTGTTAATCAAGTAAAGGGCGAATTCGAAGCAAAAAGAGCTAGACTGTAGGAATACCTCGGAATGGTGAAGGGCTTGATCGCCAAGTTCCAACACTTCCAGATCTGTCACATCCCGACAGAAGACAACATGGCCGCTGATACACTCGCCAGACTCGCCTCATCCTTGGAACTAGGAGGACCAGCATTCATTGGTCACCAGTTCGGACCAAGCAAGTTAGACACGATAGCCATAAATGTCAACTGTGCATCAGCTGAGTCAAACTGGATGACCCCGATAAGGGCATACCTCCAAGAAGGTGTGTTGCTAGAGGACCCTCTAGAAGCCAGGAAGCTCAGAATGAGAGCCTCCAAGTTTACTATTCTACAAGACACCCTGTACAAGAAAGGCTACTCCTTGCCATTACTGAGATGCCTGTCCCCTAAAGAAGCTGACTATACCATACGAGAGATCCATGAAGGAGTTTGTGCAAATCACTCTAAAGGGCGCTCCCTCGCCCACAAGGCACTCAGACGAGGCTACTTCTGGCATAGCATGATGAGAGACACCCAGGAATTTGCCAAAAAGTTCGACAAGTGTCAGCACTTCACCACTGTGCCTAAGCAGCCGCCAGAGGAACTCATGGTCATCATAAGTCCGTGGCCCTTCTCCAAATGGGGTATCGACATCCAGGGCCCCCTACCTCTCAGTAGAGGACAGTGCAAGTTCGTAGTGGTAGCAATAGACTATTTCACTAAATGGGCAAAGGCAGAACCCCTAACAAAAATAACACATGCAAAGGTAAAAGATTTCATTTGAAAAAACCTGATCTGTTGCTTGGGGATACCCCACGCCATCATCAACGACAACGCTAAATAGTTTGACAACAAGCTCCTGAACTCCTTCTGCTCTAACCTTCAAATAAAGCAGGCTCATTCAAGCTCGACGCACCCGCAGGCAAACAGACAAACAGGAGTTATGGTGAGAACAGTGTTATGCAACCTAAAGACAAGGCTTGAAAAGGCGAAGGGTCTCTGGGTTGACGAGCTCCCAGGTGTTTTATGGGCCTACCGCACCACACCAAGAGCTCAATTGGAGAAACTCCATTTTTCCTTACTTTTGGAACTGTGGCAGTCATCCCTATGAAAATCAGGGTGCACTCTCTAAGGGTCCAACACCACGACCCTGTCACCAATCAGGAAGGACTCCGCATCAACCTCGACTTGGTAGAGGAGGTAAGGGAAATGACTGTGGTCCGCAATGCGGAGTACAAGTGTCGCATGGTAAAATCGAGGGTAAAGCCTCGTTCTTTCCAACCAGGAGACTGGATCCTCAAGAAAGTGATACTCTCTACAAAGGATTCACGTGAAGAAAAGATGGGACCAAATTGGGAAGGACCATACCTCATAACAGAAGTGGTAAAGCCAGGCACTTACAAGATCCAGAATTCTGAGGAAAAGGTCTTACTCCATCCATGGAACGCGAAGAACTTGAAAAGATACTACCAATGACACCTTGAAAAAGTAGAAAAGTTGGGAACTTGATTTTATTTTTTATACTCTTTTGTGGGGCTATTACGGTATTACCCGATATTGCTTTATATGAGCAAAAAAATGAATAAAATTTCAAGAAAAACTGGAACCAAATTGGGAAAGACCATACCTCATAACAAAAATGGTGAGGCCAGACACTTACAAGATCTAGAATTCTGAGAATAAGGTCTTACCCCGTCCATGAAACGCAGAGCACTTAAAGAGGTACTACCAATGAAACCTTAAGAAAGTAGAAAAGTTGGGGACTTAGTTTTATTTTTTATACTCTTTTGTGGGGCTATTACCTGATATTGCTTTATATGAGCAGAAAAATGAATAAAATTTCAGAGATTTACTTCAAAAAGATCTTTGTATTTTCATATTCAACTTCTCAACTTCAAAGTAGCATCAGTGGCAAAAACCACGTTTACAAAAATATGGCTACAAAATACTTTTTCAAAAAAAAAACCAAAAATTCTCCAGCACGCTAACTACTCATGGTCGTCATCCTCCTCCTCATCGTCACCCTCGGCATCGTCAGAACCTCCATTACTATCATCAGGCACCTCAGTTGGCAAGAAGCCTGAGACATCAATATCGAGAAAACCAATAAAAATCTTTCCCCGAGGCTCCTCATAACCGTCAATGAAGGCATTTGCAAGGCCATACTCCAAGTCCTCAACAATCACAGCCCTCTCCTCAGCTACGAAGTTCTCTTATAAGCTGCCTTCACCTCGGCCTCTGTGGCAGCCTCTCTGAGCATGACCTCTCACGGACCTTCGCAAGCTCAGCCTCGAACCTGGCCGCCCTCCCATGGGTCGCTGAAAGCTCAACCTCACTGAGCGTGGCCCTCTCACAGACCTCCGCAAGCTCAGCCTCGAGCTTGGCCGCCCTCCCATGGGTCATCGAAAGCTCAGCCTTACTGAGCGTGGCCCTCTCACAGACCTCAACAAGTTCAACCTCGAGCCCTGACACCCTCCCATGGGTCGTCAAAAGCTCAATCTCAAGATCAGTCACCCTCTCACAGGTTGCCACAAGGTCAGCATCAAAAGCCTTGCCAGTAGCTTTAAGCTCGGTGATCCTCCTCTGAGCGACAAGAAGCTTTTTTTGCACCACTTCATGATCGTGTTTCAGCTTGTAATAAAGGAGGGTCCTTGAAAGTCAACACATAGCTGCAGTGAAGGCCTGAAGAGAAACAAAAGGCAAAAGAATGTCAAAAACTTATGGAAGGAAGGGAGAAAGGAGAGAGAACAAACCCTTACCAGAGCCTAACCTTCTAAGAAAGAGTTGAGGATCCCCTCAGAGCGCAAGGCACTAATCCCATTCACATTATTGGTGAACAAAAACCTCCCAAGCCGATCCCTGATGACCTACGCGTTACATAGCATGGAATTGATCTAAAAAGGTGCCCTCCAAGAAGTCCCCACAAAAGGAATGGATGAATGGGGGGCAGAAGGTGTGGCCAACAAACGAGACTCTAGACGAGATTCTAGGGCAGGAGGTACAACTGTGGGAGCCTCTGACCGAGGAGGCACCTCTGGATTGGTCACTTAATGGGAGGGTGCTCGAGGTGCCAGTGGAGGGGTTGACTGAGGAGAGGTCACCCCGGGTGGCACCATTGGAAAGGAAACTTGGCCCATCGTCACTTTGGAAGTCCTCGCCACCTTAGAAGGAGGAGGACTCCTACTAGAAAGGTGGGACCCAATCATCTCCCTATCTACTGCTCCAAAGAAAATAAAGTATTATCCACATGAAAAACACCAAGAGAAAAAAAAATCAACTCACATTTCCTCTTCGAAGAGAGTTGCCGGACTTTGAGGATGGAGTAATAGTCCTAGCATTCTTGGGCATGAGGACTCCCAAGTCCTTGTTAGGATGTGCCCTCACGGCCTGCAATTTCCATTCTTGGTCTTTGGAGAACACTGGCGGATTTGCAAGAGGAATGATGAGTAAAAAAAAAAAAAGAGCAAAAGAGAGAAAGAAAGTATGTGACATACCGAGTTTCTTAGGGACACCCCATCCTCTCGGTACTAAAGCCCGATCGGCCTCTACAACCCACTCTCCGCCGACAAATATAAAGTGAGATTTTCAACTATGGCAGTTGGACCGCAGACCGGTAATCAACTTGTCTCTCGTGGTAAAGTAATACCAACCTCGATTGGGAACAGGGGTCTCGCTCAAAGTATAAGCTCCATGAAACTCCTCAGGAGAGGCATCCTCATGGTGCCACTTTTCTCCACTATACAAGAAAACCCAACAGGACTCTCCAACCATTGGGTGACAATCGCCTAGAGGTGAGGAAAAAATAATGAAGAATACCGCAAATGGAAGGAGATATAGGAAACCTAAGCCCAGCCTCCAGCATTTCCTCATAGATGACAATGTCACCAGAGGAGTCATCAGAGGCAAGCTCACTCATCTCGGCTCAAAGGCACAGCACAGTCGGATAGATGCGGTAGGCGGAGACAATTCGCAAAATATCGACGTTCGTATCTAAAGTGCTAGAGATGGTATTTACCTTGGACCCATCATTAGCTACTTTGCTTTGGTGTTTTATCTTGCGATGACGCAAAGTATGGCCGGTGTCACTTCGAGGGAGGCCTTGAGAAGCCGGGGCACCCAAGGCAGCCCCAAGCTCGCCCAAGGCAACCCCTTGCTCGCCCAAAGTATCCCCAACGCTTAAGCTGCACGCCCAGCTGTCCCGTGCATGGAAGCGGCACCCAAAGTCTCCTCCTCCCTATCTTCTCCTTAGCCTAATGGGCTGCCCAGCACAACAGACACCAGAACCTTCCTCTGCCCGCTCCTTTGCCCCATCACGAGGACATTGTGCTCACCCGAGCTGTAAAAACCAGCACCTAAAGAGGCGCCCAGCACCCTCTCCTGCTCGTCTGCCACATGATCTACTCGCCCCACTGCCTCTTGCGCACGCCCAGGTAGCAGACCTAGGCTATCACATGCCCCAGGCTACTCGCCCAATCTAGGCTCTCCTCCATGCTCCCTCCTCATTCTCCTCCAGCAAGATGGCACCTCGCCAAGCATCTCACCCATCGGCACGCCTAGCGACAGGACCAGCAACGCCTCGCTTGGCGTCGCCTCCACAATGGCAACCTCGGCTGGGGCCGTCTGCCCCTCGGATCTAGCCTCGCCTAGACCTCCTCCACTTGGGCGCTTATGCCTTTGGACTCCATCTCGACTTCGACACCTCTTTAAGCAACTTGCTCAGCGTCAATTTCTCCCCCCTTTCCAATACAGTTCACTTGAGTTTTCCCAGTAACACCAGTCAGAGCATCATGAAAAATCCCCCATGGCATGTTCTCTGAACTCTAAGATGGAATCACAAATCCTCAAACCCTCCTCTTATTCTTGATAGCCTCACTAAGGAGCTCTCTCTCTCAAGATTGAATGAAGTGGGTATAATGAAGAGAAATATATTATTTATAACCTAGGGTTTTAACAAGCAAACAAGCCCAATTTAAAACCAAGGGCTCTTTTAGAATCCAAAAGGAGAAAAGGGAAGTGAAGGAGATAGTTTATGTAGCTGGAAGCGTCCTACAGTGCTAAAACATATATCATAAAAAAAGGAGTCTTGGTACATGATTCAAAAAACCGTTTAGGTTTCGGGGGCGCTGCCCTCGAGCCCTGCCACTTGACGGGGCAGGTGGATCCCCACAACCTGTCTAGGCAAGTCGATCCCCGAGTCATATCGCAACATGGACGCAACGGGGGAGGAATATTCTTGGGTCAGAATTCAAATTCAATTGAATGCCCACTTCTCCAAGCTTTATTGGACATGGGACATTGGGGGGCAAATGATGGACCAGTCCCAAATGGCCCAATCTATGTGGAAAACCCAACTTAATTAAGAGCCCAAGCTTGTAGAAGACCCAACAGGCCCTATGAGGTCCAAGCCAATCAAGGCCATCAAGAAGCTACGCCACTAAGGGAGCATCCACCCTCGCCGCTTCGAGAGAGTCAATCTTCTCTCATCTTTTGACCAAGTCCTTTGGAGAGCACTATAACTTCCTTGCCCGTTGAGGAGAGGAGAGGTCGCCAAGGAAAGGAGCGAAGAGGTCACCAAGGAGAGGAAAGGTCGTCAAACTATTTAATACTATTAAGTTGCCCCGTTATGACCATCAGTCTAACTATTCAATCACTACGCACGAGTCTATAAATTGTAAGCTCTCCCAACACTTAGGGGCATCTCACAAAAATCAAGCTCATCTTTTTTCTCTTGTAATTCTCTACTTCCCCAACACACCGAAATTAATAAAATTCCCAACGAACGTTGTCATTGAAAGTGGACGTAGGTCTTGTTGACCGAACCACTATAAACCTTGTTTCTTCTCTCTCTACTTACTGCATTTTATATTGCTTAGTTGACTGGTGGTGTGCAAACCGATTTTGTGCATCATCAATAGTTGTTATTATTGTATGATACGTGATATGATACGTATCGCTTAAGTGTATCAGTTTGCATTGTATCATGTGATACACAATACAATACACTCGATATATCAGACGATACGCACGAGTCAACTGATAAGGGACAATGAATTTTAACCAGAGAACGACGCATTTTCATTTGGAAGTAATTTTTTCAAACACTAAGTAATAAAACGAGGTCGTTTCACCATCTACAGTTTTTAAGAAATAAAAGTCTTCTTATTTGTTCTATCGCAGGAGCAAATAGTTTGATTGTCAAAAGTGTCCTCCTTTGGCTACTTTAGATATTAGAACTAAAACTCTCTAAATTTTGATATTGATGAATTATATTAGAAACTTCAATACTTAGATTATTAATTTGTTTGTTTTGGTCCTTGTAGTCTCTTTAAATTGTTTTATGTGATAAATTTGTGGTACAATGAAATGTTATTATGACATTTTGTCATAGGTATATGTATTTTTTAATATCTTTTATAAAATTACACGTATCTAATGATATGCGATACATTACGATACGCAATACATTATTTTTGAAAAACGATACACCTTCCGATATACGTTTTGATAACCTTGCACTTGATTAATGCATCCTTATTTCTATAACTGTTGTTCATGATACATGCCCAAGAAATTCTTAAACACAAAACATGCACATTTTCATTACAGAAGTTCTCTTATGACTACAAAAGTCAAAATTTCCAATTAAAAGATAAACTGAAGGTGAAGGCATTCCAAAATTCACTACATAGTCAGAAACAATGCCAAATTGATCATAGAAGAGTCACATAAAGTTGCCAAACTTACAACAGCAGTCAATAAATGATTGTTGTTGTATGTCATGAGTAAGAGATACAAGACAACCAGCTTACCTCGAATTTTACTTCATTTTATGTATTTTTTCTCAGACATTTAACCACAACCCGGTTTCGTAGGTAATTTCAATTATTAAACCCACTCCTCCTTCCCAGCCGACATCTCTCTATATTAACTGAATACTCTCTAATAATCAAAACAAACTCCTTTTGATAAATATGAACTATAAATTGGTATATGTACAGGGGCGAAGCCAAAAAAAATTTTTAATGGGGGCACATTAGCATGTTTTAATTTTTTTAATACACCGCAAAAGTTCATAAATTTATATTTATTAAAATTATATTTAATACTTTTTAAACATAGAAGATTAAAAATCGATATACATAACATAAACAAAAAAATAATAACTAAAACTTCTTATCGAGAATGCGACTAATTATTATTACTTACAATTGACCCTGGTATGTTTTTATTTTTTGAAAGAGTTACAAATTAATTTTATCAATAATATTTCTTTTATATACAAAATCGCTATAACAATCTTCCATTTATGAACCTATAGTTTACTACATAATGACATACATTTTTATACAATAACGAAATAATCCTACAATTTAAAAAAATTACAAAATAACATCAATATGTTCAAAACATATTCGAACATATCTTAAAGTTAACAATTATATTAGTTGTACTTAATTTGAAATCTAATTGATGGAGACCCAATGGTTTGTGACCATTGGGTCCTTAAATTAGGTTTCAATAACGTTGTTCAAAAAGTTAACATTAATTTAGGTAAGGGTCTATTCAAATCAATATCACTAGAACACAATATTAGGGTGGGCATAATTAAATATATCTAAATTTTATTTCAAAAAAAAAACATGCTGAATATCAAGCAAAAAAAAAAATTGAGGGGAGGGGGGGTGATGTGCCCACCCTAGCTCAAGGGCGGCTCCGCTCCTGTATACGTAATATGACACTGTTGCCAAATTAGTTGGAACATGCCAGGTGATTGCAGGATGTAAATTACAAAATATGCATATAAAAAATACAGGATTGCACCATAATCTTCAAACCTATTTATGAAGGCATTAAGATGCTTGAAAAAAATTAGGCAGTCCCTGGCAAGCAATGGGGGTGAGCAGCATTTTGCAACTGAAGCAACCCAGAACAAAAGGAGCTTTGAAATAGGGAAGAAAAATAAAGTGCACACAAATACCTGTTTTCGATAGGGCTTCCATCCTTGAGTGGAGTCTTTTCTTCTGCATAACGGGTGTCTCATTCAAATCAACTTCCCTCAAGTTTCCATTGCTACCTTTTGATGCCAGAAGACCAGCAAACTCAGATGTTGTTTCAGCATTTGCAGTGTCCATGGCTAGCTGAGCTTCGGTAGGGAACAATAATCGTGCAAATGCCACTGTGGCAGAGAAATGCACGACGGTAGTATTAAGCACAGATATATAAGCGCAAGAATTTGCAAAACAGAGAATTTACAAGAATAGAATTAGTTTTAGAAGTAACACAGAAATATTAGTACAAGCAACCTTGGCAAATGGGATATCTTAGCACATGGGAGCACAAAATATGAACAAAATTGCACCCTTTTTTCTACAAGCCTTACCAGTTAAACCTAAACCCTAAAACAGGAAGGATTCAGCAGCTCATATTCTTACAACCAGCAGGCAAAAAATGTAGATTCCAACATATTGCTTCACTACGTCAATTCCAGTGGCAGCAACAAGTTAAGGCCTGGAGGCCGTGCCCCATCACACTCCCTCCTGGTCCTCAAAATTGCCTTTTCCATCATCTCATTTTATGTCTACATCACATTTTATGTAGTTTTTCATTTGATGCTTAAAGAATTATCACTTTCTATTTGTCCCTCCATCTGAAGTTTCTAGTTCCGCTCCTAGTCAATCCCTGGCTGTGCGTAGCTAATTTATAGTTCAATTGCGGTTTTTTATTGCTGATCAAATGTCCCAGACAATGGAGGATTATTGTGCGAACTTGGCTATTACTCCGAACTTGTTTAATATGTATATAGGCAATGGTCAGATTAATAATATGATCCCTGGTGCTTTGCTTATCTATAATATTTGTTTTGTAAGCACATACATTCAAATTGAAGAGTATATATATATATATACTGAACAAAAGGAATGTTTATATTTTGAAGACGATATACAGTTGTCATCAGACGTTGACAAGTGCTTAACAAACAACTGTGTTAGCAAGAAAACATACCTAAATTGATGTGGCATTAGCACGTAAAGGAAACAAGTAAGCCACGCAAAAGAAAAAAGTGAGCCATCAGCCACGTAAAGAATAGCACCCCATAACATATAACATTTGACAAGAGGAATTCAAGAATTTTGAGAAACATCTAAGATTATAGTAGATTGCTAATATGATTATTACTACACCATATTGTATATTCTGTTTCTCTTTTTATTTAAGTCACGCAATTTGAATTTTTGTTGGAATTCAAAACAGATCCAGTCTAATTATTATGGAACATAGCTAACTATAGAAATACGCCTTTGGCTGATGATTAATGAAGTTTTTTGATCGAGAGAAAGTAGAAGAAACATAGTGAAATCAGTGATGCAATTATTACTTTCACATTATCAAATAATCTCTCTCTCCATCTAGGACAAGTACTTGTAAGGTAAATGGGCTATTTAAGGGCTTTAGAGTAGATTTCTTACTTAGCCACAGAAGCTGCATCTAAATGTTGTCTAATGATATTCATCTTCAGTGGAAGTTATCAGAAGGTCAAGCTAATTTAAATGTCATTACAATATTCGGCAAAAGGTGGGGGTTTTTAGAAAAAGAAAAAGAACGAAAGAACAATTTAAGACCATTCACTTGCAAATTATGAAATGAAAAGATGAAAATGGATGACAAAAGTCGGAAAAATATAAAAAAAGACAGCAAAAATAAAATGCCCAAGGCTTGGCTGGATTACAACAAACCTTATAAGAAATATCATGAAAACTCTTACTGGGAAAACAATTGAGTCCTGAACTTTTCTTTTTTGTCATTATCCGTCCAACATATATCATGTTCAAATTCTCTGGAGAAAAATCCGGAGAAAGAATTATATCCCATCTGTTTAACCAACTTTAGAAGAAAAGCTTTGATAACGAATGTCATGAATAAAACCAGAGGTCATAACCTTTACTAATAATTAAAGAGCGATGAAGTATGCAAACCTAGCCTCTGCAGAAACTTACCTCTGTTTTCTAGGTAAATCAGCTTCATGTGAAGATCATCTGCCATTGTCGGGGAAGAGAATGATGCATCTCCGGCCATTGGATTCCTATGGGTCTCCCTCTCCAAAACGTCAATGCATATCCGGTCTTTGTTTGCTTTCTGTCCCTGTTCTGTTTTTGCATTATAATCCTTTGGCCTTGTCAATCTCCTGCAGATACTAACAGCACTCTGCCCATCGGATGTCACTTCTGATGCACAAGCTCCTTTGGTCAAAAGAGATACTATAACTGATGGATTCTTCCTCATAGCAGCAATGTGCAGCACTGGATAACCCTGAGCATTCCGAAGGTTAACATCAGCCAGACCTAGACCAAGAACCTCAGAGACAACTTTTGGATCACAGTATGCTGCAGCATAATGGAGAGCATTGGCTTTGTCTAAGGTTATATCAGACTCCGTCAGGAGAAGTTTCACAAGCTCGACATCATCCGAGTCCAGTGCCTTGTGTATTCTGCTAATTCTCTTCTCAAGTAAGTGATCCATAGGTGCCTCATCATTTCGTTCATCTGCCTGTGACTTTCGGCGGAGCAATTTAATGTTCTCTACAGCTTCATATGGGAGCTCTTTCTCAAGAGATATGCCGTTTAGATTTGAGCATGCCACTCTATGAACACATTGAGTGAGAAGGTCATTTGATTTACAATGGAAGGCAACCAAAAGGATTGGGAGAACATCTTCTATAAGAGCCTTGCCAACAAAGTTAAGAAGACGCCGCTGCAACCATATTGTGTGGTCTATTAGCCAAAGCAAATTCAAACTCACAGCAAAATATTTAACGGAACCTGTAGTTACTTCAGATTGATACCTATTCTTTTCAATCAAATACTCAAAAGACATTAACTCTATAATTCTACTACATAGTTTTTCTTTCCCAAGTGACATATAGTAAGATTGAGGCATATATTTTTGCGAGATAGGCTAGATCCCAAGCCAAAGAGTACTTTGATGCTTTTGAGAGTTTGAGAGCCCAAGCTATAAGCAAAATACCCAGACTGATTGGTTGGAAATTTCCACCTGCAGGTTACTTCAAAATGAACACGGATGGCAGCTCCAAGGGCCATCCTGGATCACCAAGAACTAGAAGAATATTGTGAGATGAAAGGGGATTTTGGTTCAGCAGTTTGGCAGAATCAACCGCACAACCAATCTTAAAGCAGAACTCCGGGCAGCATATAGAGGGCTCCAGATGATTAAAGACAAGGGAGTGAATGGCATCCTGGAGATGGATTCCTTAGAAACCTATAGCCTCCTCATAGCCGAGAATGTACCAGCCACCCATCCCTCCAAAGTCCTGGTGGAGAACTGTCAACACATAATGGAATGCACTAACACCAGGATTATGCACACTCTGAGGGAAGGGAATCAGTGTGCGGACCACCTCACTAACCTTGGAGTTAGCCAGGCTGAAGAGTTGGTGGAATTAGTTACTCCACCACCTTGTATTGTGTCTTTTATGAACGCTGATCTCTATAGTGTTAGTTTTCTTCAGAAATCCAGGTGACTGAGGTTGCCTCCAAAGCACCAAAAACAAGAAGGACAAATAATGGAAATATATTTGTGTGCTTGTGTGTGTGTGCATGTGTTAATTGTGACAATCGACAACAATTCCATCTTATGTGTGAGTTGGTTGAGCATCATTTTGCACTGCACATTCAAATTATTAAATCGATATTTGGAAAATATATAACTGCTTTGACTCCCCTATCAATGAAAAGGTCCAACACCATAAACAGAACTACAACCACCCGGCTTAGAATCTGCAACCAAAATAAATTAATCATTACCACAACATTTCCACGTTCCCAATTGAATAGTTTTTCCACGTATATGATTAGAAAACTCTGGTACAATTTTTTCCCCAAATCATCCAAAGAAAGCTGTTACTATGACCAAGGTTCAGCCTCAAGGCATCTAATACCTTTTAACGCCAATTATCCATTTCAGACACTAGAAGTTAAGGTCCAAATTTGGTGTGCCCAAAAGTTTATTCACATCAGTTTAAAAGGCAAAATACTAAAACATAGTAACTAGCAAAGACCTGATAAAAGATGGGCAAGTTTTGCCCCCACCAGAAGTACTCAATCAGAGCACAAACAACTAAGTTTCACTTGCTTTTGTGAAAGAATATCTATGCAATTTAGTGCAGAAGCTACAAAACAGTTCCAACATGATAAAAAGGCAATCCCTAAATTTATTAATACCAATCAAACCTATACCTGTGTACCTATATTACCACATATCAATCAAGTTGAAGAAATAAACATTAATCAGCTCACCTGAAAAAGTGAAACCAGCTCCGGAACCTGGAAAATGGAAGATGCATACATCAATTCCACAGAAAAATTTATAGCAGGCCTGCAAGCAGCGTGTGCGCATACATGATCAACACATGTTGACACTTCTGGTGGAGAAGGCTTCAGCTTTGCTGTATACAAATAGCTCAAGAAAACAAGAAAGGCCTCGTACCCAACGCTCCCATAAGGCAACAAATCACTCATGCAATACTTTGATTTACTTTCTTTCTCAACAGACCCCTTTCCTTTCTTAAAAAGCTCATGGAAAAATTTACTCCTAGCTGCCAGTACACACCGATGAACACCTACTGCTATACCCTCAACTATAATAGCTGCATCGCTGTAATCACTGCTGGAATCAAGTAAGAGCTGCTCCAAATTACTGCTGAGCTTACTTAAACTATATACTTCAAGACTCAACCCTGCCTCAGAGACAGAGCCACAAGAAGGGTTTTTGTTGTAGCTAGTAGAGCCATTGGAAATATGGGAAGATGAAGTAAAGCTTATGGACGATGATGGTTCAGTCGAATTTTCCATTAGTGAACTTCACAACTCAAGTCCTACCTTGAGGTCTGTCCTGATATCCGTTAAGATCAATCAATTCAAGAGAGCTAATTCCAGTCAAAACAGAGCTGGAAAAAAGATACAGGAGTATTTTTATGGAATATATATTAATACATACCCAGTGAGGGAAGCTTCAAGATGAAGTACCGGTACTGGCCATAATTCATGGGTAAAAATTCACGCACAAATTCTGACAAAAATGAAGAGAATCATAACCATGGAAAGCTAAAAAGAAAAATTTATCCGAGTCTCAGACCAATAATAAAAAGCTTATTTATTCAATTCATATAATAAGGACCACGATGGGAAATTTCCACAACGAAATGAATCAAACATGAGCCCTCTTGCTAATATTAGTCCAGAAACATCCATCTGATCAGCGTAAGGAAAAAAAAAAAATCACGCACTAAAAAATAACTCAAAGTCCAAACAGATCACAAACCTGTGACTTTAATTGCAAAAATGCTTAGCTGATTATAAGAAAAACCATCAAGACTAAGTCGACTTTGAAGCAAAACCAATCAAGATTTCACAGTACCATAGCAGGCTACCATATCTTCAGCTAGATCCAAATAAACCATCAAAATCACAGGCTCAAATTCCAAGAATATAGACTGTTTGAAGAGAGTCCATGGGGCTGTCCCACAGGTGTCAAAGAGAAGTTTCGTTCATAGCTATCAGAGCATCTACAGAGAAAAAGCGAAGAGGAGAGAGAAAGAGGGGAAAGGTGGTTGTCGGTTTTGTTTATTGTTACCTGTTCGTTAGCAGCTGAAGTCGTTTGCGTGACGATTGCGATGTTGTCACGCTTGCTTGTTTGGTGTTGAATACGCAATCCCTGGCGTCACGTTCTTCTCTATGCGTATTGCGTAGATGAGGAGAGAAGAAGCCTTCGCCGAGCAAGAAATAACTAAATAAGCACATGATTCTTGAGGAAAGAGCGAGGTTTGGTCGGTAAACAAGCCGAATGTGACAACAAGGCTCACTATCAACCTTTTTCACACCCAACAGGAGTAAATATTCAAATGCAGCATTGGACAATGTGCAGGGCCGGCCCAAATCTAAGGCCGAACAATCCTGGGCTTTTTAGGCCATATCTTTGAGCAAGGCCCATACTGTAGTTATGTATTATAAGTCACACATCTAACTGCATAACAAAAAAGAGAGAGTCTGTTTGGTTTACGTTTCAAAAAATATTATTCGAAAACAGTTTTTGATAAGAATTTTAAAAAAGTGATTTTGATATTTTTTGACATAAAAAACTTATTTGGTCAGATGATTTCAAAAACAATTTTACAATACAGAAAATAGTAAAATCTGTTTGGACAGGTTAAATATATATGTGAACAGTAATTAAAACATTAATAAAAAAATATAACGAAGTTATTTTTATATTGACAATTTCATAATATATATATATATATATAATTAGAGAAACCTCTAATCAATATACCAGAATATAGAACTCATTTAGGGTTAAGAAATAAGTAAACAATTCACAAAATTGAAAAACTTATCTCTAAAAAGGAATTCAAATCTGGCACATCCCAAATAACAGTTATTAACCAAACTTCTGATATATATATAATAAATATCTATATAATAAAATAGGAGTGTATTTGAATTTTATCTCTGTCATATTTTCTCCCTCAAAACCATCATCAATCACTTATCTCACTCATTATTCTTTTGTCAGACTCAAACATCAAATCACATCGCTTATTTCTATCACATATATAATCATTTATATATTTCTTCCATAAAAATATCACACCACTCATTTCTATAATATATTTAATTATTTAATATTTAATTAATTTGTAATTAATATATTTTGAAAAAATTTAATATAATAGAATCGATTTTTTAGACGCTCGAATTTTATATTGGCACGGGTTATGACTAGTGTATAAATATAATATATAGTATATATATATATATATATACATATACATATATATATATATATATAATATATATATATATATATATATATATATATATATATATATATATATATATATATATATATACTCATATCTAAACATCCAAAATTGTTCTCCTTATTTTCAAAATTTTCAAAGAAAAATCTAAAAACAAGCTACACTTGTTTTATGTTTCTTTGACTCAAATCTTTTTTTTTTTCCCAAAATTTAGAGAACAAAAATGCTAAACAAACAGATTTTAGATGTTTTTAAAATATTTAGAACAAAAAATTGTTTTGCAAAACCTAACCAAACAAGCCCAGAAATTTTGGGGTCAGCTCACTTTTTAAGATTTATTTGGGAATAAGTTTACTTAAAATTTTGTTTAGAAATAAATCAATTTCGTTCTCTATAGTTTTTTTTTTTTGAGCAAATCATTCTTTATAGTTTAAAATATTCCCAGTAGTTGTATTTAATTAAAATAAATTTAAAAATTAAAAAGTCCAAAAATTTTAGAGTTTTACTAACATTAAAATTATTTCTCTTATTTACCAGAAAAAATTATTTCTCTCCCGTATCTATTTATTAGTTATTGCTCGTGCTTTAATTAAAAAATTATCAATTATAGACATATATATATTCACACCCAAAATAAAATTACAAACGTAGAAGCAAAAAAAAATAATTTAAGCATCGATTATAGTGGGAGTGAGCGGTGGCAGTGGGTGATGGGTGGGAGATGGTGATGATTGTAGTGGACAACAATGACTGTGGTGGTGGTGACAGTCGTGGGTGACAACGATGATAATGGTGGTGAGTTTTGGGGTGACAATGGTGGTGGTGGGTATGGGTGGTGGTGAGAGATAGTGATGGTGTTTGGTAGTGGTGATGGTGGGGTGATGACGGTGATAGTGACGATGGTGGTTGTGAGTGGTGGTGGGGCGACGATAGATGCTTATGGGTGACCATGGTGGTGGTGAATGGCGGTGGTGGTGGTAGGGGGTGGGTGACAGTGGGGTGGCGAAGATGGTGGGCGATGATGGGTGGTGGTGGGTGGTAGTTGGCAATGATGGTGGTAATAGGTGGTGGTAGTGGGGCGACGGTGGTGGTGGGTGGTGGCGATGGACGCCAATTGGTAATGGTAGTGATGGGGTGGTGGTGGTGGTGGTGGTTGTGGCAAAGGTGATTGTGGGGGTGACGGTAGTGGCGATGATGGTGGTGGTGGTGGTGGTAGTGGTGGGGGCAGTGGGAGTGGTGGTGGTGGTTATTGTGGAAAAGATAGTGGTGGGGGTGGCGGATGTGGTGGTGGTAAAGTATTTTGTAAAGAAATGGTTTTAAAGAAGTAGAATTTTTTTTTTTTGACTTATTTAAAAGCAAAGTTTAAAACAATCTCAACCATGAAAAGAAATAGTCATTTTGTTTATCTTTTGGGATTTGAATTGTCTTGTACTTTATTATATAGATTATGACTAATTCTCTTATATATATATATAATCTATAATCTGTTACGCCCCAAAATTCGAGGGTCTTTTTTTTACCAGTTGATCACCCATCAACCCATAAAATATACCCATGAATACCACATAACCCAATACCACGTCGTTATACCCTATTCATCGGGATCATAACTACATAGACTTTGGGTAGAGTCTCTTTTGTACGGGAGCCCTACTCAATCCGTAACTTGTGCATGCAATCATAAGACAATTCCAAGGTCCAAACCCTATGATTAGGACTCAGTATTCCCCATTAACATCATCCCAAGAGGATCGTTTAAGAAGTGAAGGCCCCTCAATGTCACATTTTAAAATTTTAAATTTTGGGAAGAGATTCAGGTACCTTATGTACGTGGTACCGGTACCTGAGCATTCTGTCTGTCAGGTACCGGTACCTATAAATATTTAGTACTAGTACCTGGGCCCACTGTTTGTTAGATATCGGTGTTTGAGCCCAGATTTTCTCCAAATTTTACCATTTTCAACACTTAACCACCCAAACTTATACCATACCCAATACAATCATTCATTTACATGAAAAACATTGTCCATTGGAGTCCCATTACATGCTCTATTACAAATATATAAGTTCAAAGCAAATTTACATATTTGATTTACAAAATGCAATTCAAAAACCACATTATGGCTTCGTCAAGGACTCAAATGAGGGTCGTCTATCGGCATTTGTCCAACACTTGAAATATGTTCCCATAAAAGGTGAGCTACGCTTAGTAGAGTATCTTCGAAGGAGGCTACTCCCCAACCCAGATGCATATGAAAATGTCACATGCAATTCAACCAATTAAGCATCCATTCAAATAAATTCATTTCATAAATGAATGCTACCAATTCATGTCATGCCTTGAGATGAAACTCACGTATGCAATGCAAACTTGAGCCTTCCACCAATTCCCATAAACACATGTTATGTCATGTTTATGCATCCAAGCATTCAAAGTCTTGCCATTGATGTTCGACATCTAATGACCGTTTTGTAAAATCTTGTATCTTTCTCGGGGTAGATATTTATGGACTTCCACCAACAGGTACCCAACCGACACAGCATTTATGACCTTCCACCAACAATTCCGTATACGCTACATACTTTATTGACTCAATATCAATAAGAGTGCGTATCTGAAATTACCGGGTCTTGCACCTAAAGGAGACTTTAGCCTTTATTGCTTACCTCAACACATATTTTCAAAGCAAACCCATACAAGTCAGTCGAACCTAGGTCCAACCTTCCCGAGACCACGTATTAACTCACCAAGGATAGTGTCTGATCAAAACAGGTACACACACTCACATTCATATCAAAATGCCCACGAATGCGATGTTACCTGTGCATATACAAATGTAATGAACAATTGCATTTTACAATGTCATGTTCATATTATGAGCAGATTATGAACACACCTAATTTTTCAAATGTCAATTATATAATAAAGTATATAATTACATTCTGTAATCTCTATTAAGCATGTTATATCAATTTATTTTCAAATAACACACTTAATCATTCATAGACATTTTATCAAATACCTATAAGGCA